CGTGCCCCCCGTGCCCCCCGTGCCCCCCGTGCCCCTCACCAGTTTGATGTCGCCGCTGCCCACGAGGGCGCTGAGCTCGCTCAGGTCCCGCAGGAGCCCGTTCAGCACCTCGGCCGCGCGGCGCCGCTGCTGCCCCCCGAGCTCCCGTGCCCGCGACAGCTCCGACTCCAGCGACAGAGTGGTGGCCTGCGACACCGCCAGGGCTGGGCTGGCACCGGGCACAGCGGCACTCGGCCCCCCCTGGGAGCCCCTGTGCCACCAGGGCACGGTGACACCCAGAACATCTGGCGGACCCAGGTACAGCAGCGCGTCCTGGGCACCCCCCACACCTGAGAACGCCAACACTCCTGGACACCCCCTGTGCCCCCTGTGCCCCCACCCCTCCTGGCACCCCCATGTCCCCTCACACCCAGCACACCCTGCCCCAGCAGCCTGGCACCTCCAGCTCCCCCCGGGCATCCACACCAGGCACTCCCAGCACCCCTTGGCACACCACCAGTGCCCCAGCTCCCAGTACCGCCCAGTACCGCCCATCTTGGCACCCCCAGCACCCCTCAGTAACCCTGGCACCACCACCCTGGCACCACCCACAGCACCCCAAGACGCCTGGAGCACCCAGTCTGGCATCCCAGTTTAGGGGCAGGGTTCCCCAGTTTGGGCACACGTTTGAGGCAGGGGGGGATCGATCCCCTGTTCTCCTAGGGGGGTATCTCTTTTGTGGAGTGTGGCTTGATGGGATGGGCAGTCCCCTCTTTGGGGTCTAGTTTGGGGTTTAAGGGGCTCCCGAGTCTGAGGCTCCTGTTTTGGGGTTTCCTGGGCTCACAGCATCCCAGTTTGGGTTTGGGAGTCCCAGTTTGGGCCTGGGGGAGGGGAATTTGGGATTTGCTGTGTCAGAGGGTGGGGGTCCCAATGGGCTCCACATGGTTTCCCCATGGGGTTGAGGAGCCAGTCTGGGGTTCCCAGTGGAGTCTAGAAGGGATCTCAGCAGGGATCCCAAGGGGGCTCTCAGTAGGATCCCATTGGGGGTCCCAGTTGGACACCCCCCCATTGGACACCCCCAGTGTGACCTCGTGGAGCCCTCAGCAGGAATCCCCACAGGGCAGCCATGGGTGTTCCCATGGATCCTGCTGGGAGATCCCATTGGGTGCCCCAGTGGATTCAGCTGGTGAAGCCCCTTTGGGGTTCCCAGTGGGGGTCCCAGTCTCAGCAGGAATCCCAGCTGAATCCCCATGGAGGCTCCCATTATGACCCCACTGGGTTTCCAGGTGGGTTCCCAGCAGGACCCATTGGAATTCCCAGTGCAGGGTCTCAGCAGGATGGATTCCCAGTAGGATCCTGCTGGAAATCCCTTTGGGTTCCTGTGGGAATTCCCAGCAGGACCCCATTGGAATTCCCAGTGCAGGGTCTCAGCAGGATGGATTCCCAGTAGGATCCTGCTGGAAATCCCTTTGGGTTCCTGTGGGAATTCCCAGCAGGACCCCATTGTGAGGCCCCAGGGGGCACCCATGGAGGTTCCCAGCAGGACCCTGCTGGGTTTGGCCAACCCTCTTGGGTTCCCAGTTGTGTTCCCTGTTGATTTCCCATTGGGTTCCCAGTTCGGTTTCCCACTGATTTCCCATTATTTCCCCATTGGTTTCCCCATTGATTTCCCGTTGATTTCCCATTATTTCCCCATTGATTTCCTCATTATTTCCCATCACTTTCCCCTCTGTCCGTCCCCCCCCCAGCCCCACTGCTCTGCCCTGGGCTGTCCTGGTGGCCCAGTGTCTCCTCCATTGATTTCCCCATCGATTTCCCATTATTTCCCCATTGATTTCCCCATCGATTTCCCATTATTTCCCATTATTTCCCCATTGATTTCCCCATTGATTTCCCATTATTTCCCGTCGCTTTCCCCGCTGTGCCCCCCAGCCCCACTGCTCTGCCCTGGGCTGTCCTGGTGGCCCAGTGTCTCCTCCATTGATTTCCCCATTATTTCACATTATTTTCCAATTATTTTCCGTTTGTTTCCCCATTGATTTCCCATTATTTCCCCGTTGATTTCCCATTGATTTCCCATCGATTTCCCCATTATTTCTCATCGATTTCCCCATTATTTCCCCATCGATTTCCCATTATTTCCCCATTATTTCCCCATCGATTTCCCCATTATTTCCCATTATTTCCCCATTATTTCCCATCGATTTCCCCATTATTTCCCATTATTTTCCCATTATTTCCCATCGATTTCCCCATTATTTCCCCATCGATTCCCCATTATTTCTCATCGATTTCCCCATTATTTCCCGTCGCTTTCCCCGCTGTCCCCTCCCCAGCCCCTCTGCCCCGCCCTGTGCCGTCCCGTCTGTGCCTCCCCCACCTCGGTGCGGGCCAGCTCATCGGCGAGTCTCCGGTTGTGCCTCCCGGTGTCCTCGGCCTCCTGGGCCTTGCGGTCGTAGCTCCGGGCGAGCTCCTCGAGCGCCGCCAGCACCTCGGTGACCTCGGCCCGCGCCGCGCCGTGCTCGGCCCGCAGCGCTGCCAGCTCCCGGCGAGCCGCCTCCCCCCCGCCCCGAGCCGCTGCCAGCACCTGCCGGGACACGGGGAGGGGGCCACAGGGGACCCAGGGGTCACAGGGGGGTCCCAGAGGGGTCCCAGGGGGCAGAGGGGGGGCCCCAGGGGGCATGGTGGGGGTCCCAGGGGTCAGAGTGGGGGTACTGGGGGCAGAGTGGGGTCCCAGAGGGGTCCCAGGGATCGGAGTGGGGGTCCCAGGGGTCAGACGGGGGTCCCAGAGGGGTCCCAGGGGTGAGGGGGTGTTCCCAGAGGGGTCCCAGGGGTCAGAGTGGGAGTATCAAGGGGCAGAGTGGGGGTCCAGAGGGGTCCCAGGGGTGAGAGGGGGGTCCCAGAGGGGTCCCAGGGGGCAGAGTGGGGGTCCCGGGGGCAGAGTGGGGTCCCAGAGGGGTCCCAGGGGTCATGGTGGGGTCCCAGAGGGGTCCCAGGGGTCATGGTGGGGGTCCCAAGGGTCACAGTGAGGTCCCAGGGGTCATGGTGGGTACCCCAGGGATCAGAGTGGGGGTCACAGAGATCATGTTGGGGTCCCAGAGATCAGAATGGGGACCCAGGGGTAACAGTGGGGGCCTAGAAGAGTTCAGGGGTCAAAGTGAGGTCCCAGGGATCGAAGTGGTCAAGGGTCTTGGTGGAGTCCCAGGGGTCACAGTGGGGGTCAGGGACTATGGTGGGGTCCCAGAGGTCACAGTGGGGGTCCCAGGAGTCACATTGGGGGTTTCAGGGATCAGACTGGGGGTCCCAGGGGTCACACTGGGGGTCCCAGGGGTCAGAGTGGGGGTCCCAGGGACCATGGTGGGGTCCCAGGGTCACGGTGGACATCCCACAGCAGACCCAGAGGTGGAGGGGGAGGCTCAGGCTGAGGGGTCCTGGGGGGTCCCAGGGACCAGTCCCAAACTGGTTCTGGCAGTCAGCCAGAGGTCACAGCTGGGGGTCCCAGAAGGGTCCTGGAGGGTCCCCAGGTGGGACCCCCAAAGGAGACCTGGGGGGGTCCCAGTGAGGTCACATCGGGGCCCCAGGGGTCAGATTTTGGAGGGTCCCAGGCACTGAGGGCGAAGGGGTCCAGGGGTCTGGGTTGGGGTCCCAGAGGGGTCCGGGGGGGTCCAAGTCGGTTCTGAGTGGGGTTCAAGGGGGGTCAGACAGGAGGGGTGGGGGTCACAGGGTGGGGGGGCAGGACCCTCACCTCCTCCTGGTCCAGCATCTGCTGCTTGAGCTTCTCCATGATTTGGCTCTGCTGGTTGATCTCGTCATCCTGGGGGGCACAGGGGGGTCCACAGGGGTCACCCCAGGGGCTGGGGGTGGGGGATGAGGGGGTCCAGGGGGGAGCTGGGAGCTGACAGGGGGTCCCAAAATGTCCTGGGGGCTGCTGGGCAGACTGGGGGGTCCCCAAATGTCCTGGGGAGCTCGGGGATGCTGGGGGGCGTCCCTGGCAGGTCTGGAGGGGTCTCGGGGGTGCTGGGGGACGTCCCTGGCAGGTCTGGAGGGGTCTCGGGGGTGCTGAGGGGGGCCCTGGCAGGTCTGGAGGGGTCTCGGGGGTGCCCACCTGGCCAGGGGTGCCCACCTTGTCATCCAGCTGCTTGTAGAGCTTGCGGATCTCCTCCTCGTACTTGTGGCGCTCCTCGTCCGAGATGTGGATGACGATGGAGGAGCTGTTGTCGTTCAGGGGGGGCTCCTCGGGGGCCCCCCCTTGGCCCTCCCCTGTCCCCTCCCCCGGCCCCGTTTCTGCCTCGGCCTCGTTCAGCTGCTCCGTCTCGGGCACGGCCTCCCCTGTGGGGGGACACGGCCTCAGGGTCCCCATCCAGGGCTGGGGGGACTCCCCACATCTGGGGGGCATCCCAGATAGGACCCCCACCATGACCCCTGGGACCCCCCACCAGGACCCCTGGGACCCCACCATGACCCCTGGGACCCCCCACCAGGACCCCTGGGACCCCACCGTGACCCCTGGGACCCCCACTGTGACCTCTGGGACCCCCACTCTGACCCCTGGGACCCCCAATCTGACCCCTGGGACCCCCACTCTGACCCCTGGGACCCTCAATCTGACCCCTGGGACCCCCACTGTGACCTCTGGGACCCCACCATGACCCCTGGGACCCCCACTGTGACCGAATCTCGGGGTGCCCCCCCAGATGTGGGGGTCCCCTCGCTGCTCAGCTCAGCCTCCCAGGTGAAGGACACAGCCTTGGGGTCTCCACTGGGGGCTCTTGGGGTCCCCTCCCCACAGTTGGGGTTCCCTTCCAGATCTCGGGGTGCCCCCCCCGATCTCGGGGTGCCCCTCACCGCTCCGCCAGCGGCTCAGCTCAGCCTCCAGCCGTGCCAGCGTTTCCCTCAGCGCTTTGTTCTTCTCCTTCTCCTTCTCAAACTTCTTCTTCCACTGCTCGGCCGTGAGCTCCAGGTTCACCGACGCCGTGTTCTTGATGGTCTTGGCCCTGGGGGGGCACCCCGAAAATGGGACCCCCCCTCACCGGGCCACCACAGCCACTCCAGGGTCACCTGCCCTCCCCTCCCACGTCTGGGGACCCCCGTGGGGCACAGGGGGGGCACTTGGGGGGCACTGGGGGCACTTGGGGTGTGGCTGGGACACAGCGGGGGAAGTTGGGGTGCAGCAGGAGCTGTTGGGGGGCAGCTGCGCTGGAACAGGTCCGGGGGTGCAGCTGGGGTGCAGTGGGGGTGTCGTGGGTACAGGGGGGCACTCGAGGGTGCTCTTGGGATGGAGTTGGGGGGCAATGAATCCATGGGGGCACTTGGGGCCCCCCATTCCGGACATGAGCGTGGCTCGGGGGGTGCGGGACCCCCCCAGCCCCCACCTCTGCCCGAACATGAGCGTGGATTTGGTCTCGGCGTCGTTGTAGCTGCTGGGGGAGCAGCAGATGAACATGGTGGTGCGGCAGTTGCCGCCCAGGGAGTCCTGCAGGATCCGCGTCATCTTGCTGTCGCGATAGGGCACGTACGCCTTCTGCGAGGGGAGGGGCGGCCTCAGGGGGGACCCTCACGGGACCCCCGGGGGGAGCACAAAGCTGGGGGGCTCAGGGGAATCCCCCCCCCCCCGGGGACAGGTGGGGGTTGGGGACACATGGGGGGCGGGGGGTGTCCCCAGGGGGACGGGGCACGGGGTGGGCAGGGTGGGAGACACGGCGGGGGTGCTCACCCCATGTCCCCCACCCCAGGACACTCGGGGGGGGACACTGAGGAGGGGGGACATGGGGGGAGGGGGCTCAGCTTGAGGGGTCCCTTCCCCCAGACCCTGGGGGGGACATGAGGGAAAGGGGGGGAGGAGGGTGAGGTGCACCCAGGGGACACCCCGGGGGGACACACGGGGGGGGACACACCAGGGGGACCCCGGGGGTCTCACCGTGCCCTCGGCCAGGGCCGAGATGACGTTGCCCAGCGCCGACAGTGACTTGTTGATGTTTTTGGCCTCGTCCAGCACGGCTCCCTCAGCCCCGGTCTTGCTCACCTGGGGAGGGGGCGGCGGCTCAGGGACCCCCCCGTGTGCTCCCCTATCCTGGGGACCCCTCCCAGGGATGGTCCCAGACCCCAACCCAAAAATGGCATCAGCCAGGAGAACCCCGGTCCGGACGCCCCCCACCCAGAGATGTCCACCCCAGCCTGAAGATCCCGAAACCCGATGGCCCCAAACCCCAATGGCCCCAAAAAACCCCAAAGCGCCAATGTCCCCCCAAAACCCCACAAACTGCCCCAGACCCCCGTCCTCCAAACGCCCCCCAAAATCCCAATAACCCCCAAACTCCATGGACTCCCCCCAAAGGCCCCCACCCTCCAAACAGCCCCCA